GCTGCCTTGAAATCTCCAAAAATAAGGTATTGTATGTATATTTCTTCCTAATTATATAAATTTAAAGCATTTAACCATGCCTTTAATAGTGTTTGCACTCACCAATTAAAATGTTATTATTTACTTCTCCTTTTGGATATTTTTGGCAAAACCATTTGCAATTGAGAAAACAAAATACTGTATTATCCTTTTTTCCGCCCTCCTGACGATCCTGATTGATTTTGTTCGCAAAACAAGGTATAAAAGTCTCGCTTAAACTGGGGTACATATACAATACATGATTGCATTTGTATCCACAATTAAACATTGCTTAAAAATATACAGTTAAACTTGCCTAAGTCGACTGTCAAGTCGAATAATTTCTAAGTCGATCTTATTTTAAATGCCAAATTGTTGTGTTTTCTATTAATTAAAAATCTGTAAGTCAAATTTTATCCAAGTCGAACAATATTTCAGTGGCATTTTTTATTCGACTTCGTCAAGTTTAACTGTACATCCATTTTACATTATCTCAATCAAAATTTTATGTTAGTGACATCATTTTTAGTTTGAAATAATTTTTATATTGTTCTTATCAAATACGTAGGCATACAAATACGATCTGTTGAAATGGTGGAAATAATTACAGAATTCAGACCAGTAGCCGTGTTCTTTCTAACAAAAGTAACAATCGAGTGTAAGATAAAGGGGATGGCTGAACATCATGTAGCCTCATGGTTTCACGATGAAAAAGCAATGACATTTGGTGAAGAGGTCATTAAACATGAATATGGCAGACAAATACTCCAGTGTGCCACGGATGGTATACACACGTACACAATCAAAATAAACGCTCAACAACCTCTTGAAGGAATGTACACAATGAAAGTCTATGAACGAGGTCCAAATAGAAATCTGGATGTTGTAGCACAAAAAGATATTGCTTGCCTTGAAATTAAACGCAGATATGAACATGAAAATACCCGACTTAAATTTTATGAAGCTTGTATGCCAGAGTGTAAGATCGACATATTGCATATTTTTTTACCCACTACACTGGCCTATATAGAACAAGCCTACACATTATTTCTTTATTTTAATTTTATCATATATATTTTAAACGCTTCCATCCTGAGCCTATATATATATATATATAGATTTCATAAAAAAATAGAAAATAAAAAAAAGGAATAATAGCAAAAACAAAAGCTAGTGGTGGATGAAATTGTTTGAAATTCTATTTCTATTGTGGCTCTCAACACTGAATTTAGCTACCTAACAATGTAAATATATTTGAAATTATTCAATATTATGGTATAAACTTTTAATAAACAATGTTGTTTGCATTTAATTAATTGAATATTTAGTTAATTAATTCTCATCTTGATATCCATCAGCATATTACATTAACATCCACTAAATGTTCATCAGTCTTCTAATAAAATATCTACAAAAACCTGTTTAGCTGGTTTTTTGATGAATAGAGGTTTAAGGGCCTGTTTCTACATGGTTTCTATAGGATGAATTGTTACTTAGTTTGTTTCAAGAACAACTCCATAAACATTTGCAAATATGCAGGAGGCATTGCTGTACTTAAGCAACTAAGTCAGGCCCGTAATCTGGGGCGTTTCGGGGGTTCAGCCAAACCCCTTTTGAACAGTTTACTACTGCAATAGTTTTTATCATAACATTTTTCTATTATGAAACACTTCTGACCTTGAGTTAAACTTAGCCTATAAGAAACACCCCTTCCACATGAACCTGGTTTTGGCATGAAAATAATTTTATTGGTGAATGTAAACAAGTGTATTAATGGGATGGTTTAATGCTTTAAATTTACATTATAATTAGAAAGAAATATACATATCTTATATTTGGAAATTTCAATGCAGCAACTAGCATAATAAAAATAAAGAAAAACATTTATTTTTTTCTGAAATTTCCATTTTTTGTGGAAGTGGGTGGGCTAATAATTGGCCAAAAAAATTTATCTATTTGGAGTCATCATTATTGGCAGGCAGTGGGGTTCACTAAACGAGTATGAAAGTCTTGCCTAAATAAATAAATCATCCCAATTCCTCCACCAACAAATCAATGAGAAAAATATGTGATCAAATCAACAAACATAATCATTCAAACTAAAAAAAAAATTTTTTTTAATCAATCATTGATGATAATAAGTAATTATTAAAATACAGTAGACTGAAGTGATCTAGACCTACTGTACCGAGTATATTTATATTTCAACAAAATTGCCAGGATTAATTTAATCAGGCCAACATTTTAGTTTAAAAATTTAACTGTACCATTATTTGCATGGCAATAATTTTCATCATCTCTTATTTCAGGGATTACTGGAGGTGGAGTATCTATTGAAGATAAGCCGTTTTATGGTAAACGTCTATGTGTCCTTGGTTTGGAGATAGAAATTCAGGCCCCATGGGTAAAAGGTGTTAATGAGGGTCACGTGGTATGTTGGTGTTTAAATGGGAAAGTGTTAACTCACGGAAAAGATGTTGTTGAAGAAAGTCAAAAGCATCGATTGGTTCCTCAAATTAAAGAGAATGGAGTTCACACGCTGACAATAAAGAAGGCTCAAATAACTGACGAGGGTACTTACTCTTTCAGAGTTTATGAAGCAGGCTCAGAGTTGCAGAATATGCTGGTCACAAGTGACATTACTAATATTAAGATCCTATATTGAAGCACTTGTTTGATAGTTTGTGGGTAATATGGTGTCCAAACAAATACAATGCATAATACATAGAAAAATGCAACCAATAGCCATGAATGCACAGTACTTTAGATGTTCAGCGTTAAAACCATCAAATCCAATAAACTTACTGCCAGTCAGTCCAAGTAATCATTTGGAAAGTTATATGGAGTGATAATGCTAGAAGTTAAAATCACTGATACAAAATATTTATAAGTATTGTTTTAAACACAATTAAATAACTTCTCCTAGTGGTCTGAGTCAGTGCGTGTATTACTACTGTAACGTTTTTTCTCTTACTGTACATTGTTTTAATTGGCTAACTTCAAATGCAGGAGTAGACGAGTTGATGTATACTCTATCCCAAAAATGTTTTAAATTCTTGGTTTACAATCAATTTTTATCACCTTCATTGCTCTTTATTCAGTCTAGAAAACCTACGTGCAAGTTTAAAACGAGACCTAGAAACGTCCTATTAATTAAACAGAGGCACATGTCCCACTAAGAATGCCTCTCCTGAAATATCATACATGTCTAAGATGCTCAGAAACACTCATTCCATCCAGGAGCATAAAAAAACAAAGCATTCATTAGTGATAAACAAGGCCCAAAAAGCCACTTCTAGGTAAGGGGTTATTAATTACTAAATTTATATGCCATGAAATGCATGCATCTAGGGCTGAAACAGCCTCAGCCACTCCACAGCCTTTCAAAAATGCAAGTTGGGGTATCTAAGCATGGCCAGCCGAGATTGGTCAGGGTGTGGTTTGAACTCCTGACCACAAGCACAAGTTAAATAACTGGAACGTAAACCACGGAGCCAAACGCCTTAATATTAATCAAACAGTTTTTATTATACAATTATCAACCAACGTTATTGTTTTGACACATAATTTGAATCTAGACTATACCGGACCATAGACTGCCTTCATGCTTGAATTATATTAGTGCATAGTCTTGTTTAAGTTTTCTATAGCACAATATAAAACAATGTTTTGTCACCTGCGAATACATAGGTTTGCAAATATGTAGTTAAAATAAATATACGAGACATTTTTTATGTGTACCTGTATATAGTTGCTTAAGAATGATGAATTTGTATTTTCCATTGTCAGCAGAAATTGTACTTGGATGTACCATGTTGATAGGAGTAGTCCTAGCTACTTTTATTATATCTAATGATATCAATGTATTATTATTAACCACCACTATTAATTAGGCTATAACAAACTAACGTTTGATACATATAGAATTGAATGGAATATGGAATGAATGGAATTTTTAAAGACAAATTGTTATTGATGTGTAGAGTTAATTATTCTTAAGATAGTTGTCTAAAATACTTGCAAGTTGTTTACTGTACAGTTATGTTATATGTTATAATTGAAAACACAACAACTTGGCATGTAAAATTAGATAGACTTTTAGAAATTATTCAACTTAGGCAAGATTAACTGGTATATGATTAAAACTTTAATTGTTTTTGTTAAATTTGATAGAATATTAAAATATGACAACAATGTTGAAAGTAGTTGTATAGCTGTGTTGAACAATAATATTCATGAGTAGTAATGAGGCTAACTTTGGAGATTTAACATGAGCTTTCGCTGGCAGTCGATGCTAGCTTCGACTAATGAGGAAGCACTCTGAGGCTAACTTTGGGGATGTAATTTAACATGAGCTTACGCTGGCAGTCGATGCTAGCTTCGTCAAGTGTGTGAAGTAGAAAACCACATCTTCAACGTTAGTCTCAAAGTGCTGGCTTGTTATTACCCCTTATAAATTCACAAAGGTCACATGTCTGCAAGCTTTATCAAATTTCTGCAAATGTGTATAGCAAACATATTTAAAAACACAATTACTCTCATGCAACTGAACTCTCCATACTCTCTGAATGATGTGGGGAGACAATTTGAAAAAAATTACACAATTCAAATACTTTAGTCAAAAAACATGATCTTTAATACACTTAACAACAATAATCAGTGGCGTAGCAATGGTCAGTGCAAAGCACTGGGGCCTGAGCCTATTAAAAAAATAGGCTTTAAAAATAACGGCTCCTGAAAATGTAAAACATGGGGGAGCTATAGGGGACTACCCTACGGGGGAAGAAATTGACGGCTCACAGCAGACCCCCACACTAGCCGTAACTCAGTCCTACTGCCCTTGGTCGATGCTTCACAGCATAGAGCCTGGCAATTAATCTTGCACTTGGGCCTGTTCTGACCTAGCTATGCCGCTGCAAGTCACATCAATAATACATCATAGGCCAATCTTTGTAGTTCAAATAAATTTTGAAAACTTATAACCGATTCATATGAGAATAAATGTTACACGCGTCTCCTGCTACAGAAATTTTAATGTGCACCCCCTGCTAAAGTGAGTCTGTGAATTCCCATCCATGCAAGATTAACATGCATACTGTGTAATATTCAAGAAAAACAGACATGGCATAGGCCTAATAGCACTACCAAGATTCTTACCTAGAAACTGGGTTTATGCTCAGAGGGCGTAGTTCACTCCGTGGCATCAGTTCAAGGTGTTTCCCCGGACCACCAGCCAATGGGAAGGGCACCTCCTTAATAAAATAAGGATTTTTGAATATATAAAATTGTTGAAGGGGGGGGGGGGTGGAGAAAGAGGGTAAAAGGGTTTTTAAATATTCACAAATTAATATTTTATTACCTGTTCCTAAGTTTTTTGTCAAACAAATCAGTACAACCAGAGAGTTGTTATAGGGCATGTTTCTACTGATAAATACAAAATTATCGATTTTTTTTAACCGCTTTTTTAATGAGTACCAAACAGCCTGCTCGTGTTGCAACTGCATTTTTGATTTTTCGAAAATCGGTTTTAGTGATGGAAATTACGTCACCATTTTGTTTATACAACACATTGTTTTCCTAACTGTATAGGATAGTATCTTTCTAATTCCTGTCATGATGACGAGGAGTAAGATACGGTGTGGGGCGAGAAGGCAAATGTTTTTGGCTGTGCTCATCGGCACAATGGACGAGCGACCAAACGAGGACAACGGTAGGCCCAAAAGAGCGGAGAGGCCTAGGCCCAATATCCCCCCCACAAAATAATTACAAAACGAATTCGTCGCTCCACATGTTTCTTTACATTTTTAGCTTGTAGGCCTAGGACATGAACAAGAGGACAAATTTTCTTGAAAGTTCACGCCTAATATGATCTAGTCTTTGCAGTGATTGACCTGGAGGTCACATTTCACCTGATAATCGCTTTTTTTTTGTTGCAGCTAAAAGGTGCACAGCCAAAATCGGTTATTTTTTTAATCGCCTTTTTCAAACTGGTCCCGTTTTTTACTGCAAGAATAAAAGCGATTTTTCGAAAAAGCGATTTTTAATCGATTATTTCTTTCCAGTAGAAACAGGTCCAAAGTGACTATAACAACTCCCTGGTACAACATATCTAAATTGATTACTAGAAAATTTATGGTCACCTAATGCCCTCTGGCAAATTAAATTCCAGTAAATTTCTTGTAAAAATTATGGTGGCTCTTCCAGGCGGTATTGCAATTATGCAACAGTACAAGTGGTTTTCGAAATGTACTGGATAATTAAGTAGAAATGCACTAGTTTTTTGATGGTCAAATCTCTTCTATAATTTAATCATTGTACAGTCCTTATCTGTGGTGTTTGGTGTTGCAACTCAGCGACTATTTGGTATGACATGCTATATGGTATGACGCGGAGCTATATATGTCAATATAACGTATGACAGTCATTATATGATGCCATTACCTAATGATACTTACCACTTGTTTAAATTACCTTCAACAATGATCCTATCCATGGTCTGAAAAAGTAAAGAAAGTTGTGTTGTGATAAACATGACAATTACTCTGGGAAATAAAGTACCTTCATGTCATTCAGAAAGCTAATTTTAAAAGTAACTCATAACCATAATTATGCCTACACGTCTACAAACATTTTTGTGGTGATTAGAGAGGGTGCATTCCAACCCTATCCTTAAAGATATCTGAAATAGAGTTATAGCTGGTAAAATATACACTTTTGGCAAAATTAAGATAACAGCAAAAATATAACAATAATGATGCAAGCATGTACAGGCCAACGCAATTCATCATCATGGACCGTCTTATGCCGTTGTGAGAAATATCAAACATGTTTAATGTTCTACGATGCAACTGCTTCACAACGCAAACCATCGCGTCTCACAGAAACAACGTGCAACAAATCACGTTGGGCTGCATCATACGATGATCTGAGTTGGCCTTAAAACACATCCTACTATTTTGGGTTTATTCAATAAGAAAAACAACTAAAAATTACAATATGAAATTCATTGAAAACCAATCGTTTTTTAAAATAAATATTACAACTATTAGGCGTTTGACAAGTTAAAAAAAATGAATAGCTGCATCATTGATTTCAGGATTTTGGAACCGATATTTTTATCTGTCAGAGTATTTGTGTTTTCAGGTTTTTTACGTTAATCCCCATTCCTACCTCTCAAAAGGTGTTTTTGAATAGTTATTCAAAAATTAATCTTATGTCATCATGGAAGTAACAAACTGTCACACATGACAGAGGCGTACCTATCAGCATGAACTTCAGATTTGGAACAATGAGATGCATTTGTTATCAAAGGTTGCAAGAACCTCTAAATGATTTTTTAGGGAGCAGCGAAAAATTATTTTTTTCTGCAATTGCAACACATGAAAATTTAAGCATAGTGCAATTATTATCTTCTTCGAAGGGACTGATTATGAACTTGTACAAAGATAGCACTAAGTGCATACATTTGTTTACGGAGCATATAGATAGAACAGGAAACTGAAGTGGCATTTTCAGGGCTGATATTTTTTTAGGCTATTGCGCAATACATCGCGGAATTAGTTGGGAATTTGCAAGTTATTAGTGTACAATGTTCCCTTTCCTCATGTTTGCTGAAAATAACAAATGTTGCATACCACTTTGTTGTTTGTATTTATTGTATTAGTTTTTCACTCACCTTGCCATATTTTTTTCTTCCTTTTCCTCTTTATTTTTTTCTTGTTTCTTTTGATGTCTGATCTTGTTTTTGGCCATTTCTTTTGCATCAAACTGATCTTGTTTTTGGCCTTTTCTTTTGCACATTATGTCTATTCTATCTTTATGTAAACAAGTTTCTTTCATAGTACTGTACATAGAAATCGACAGTAACAAAATGTCTGTTTTGTGATCTTGAAAAGCAGCAAAAATTATTTCTTTTTCCCTTTTTCTCCTTTCTTTTATCAATTGCTTCTTCTTTAAACAGTTTAGTGACAAGCAGTTTCAATATACAGTTAGAAACCTCCATTTTGAGTACCCTATTTTACGTCCCCCTTAATTTTACATACGCTTCATATGGACGATGATGTCATCAATATCTGTATTTTAATCATTATTATTTCATTTCTGCATATTTTACATCTAACAAACCAAGCAAACGTTGTTTTGTGATTATTCTACTATTATGCGTCACATGAGCACTGTTTACATTGCAACCAATCTGTAGGGATTAATGCAACGATTATTGTTTTATTCTTATCAATGAACTATGAACATGTGAATTGTTTTCTCGCACTAAGTTGAGAAGGCACAACTGGACGACGACTTATTTTGCATATGAACCGCTTGTTGTCGTGTCCCTCCTTAACCGACATTGTTTTGAAACACGCAGTCCATATGTCCTGTCGCTTGCAAATTCAACGGCCTTGCTCAACAGTCTACACAAATTTACAGTGATGAAATCATCTGCCGTTGGGATGGTACTGTATTGCATTTTTTGTTTTTAAAAGAAATTTAAACTAAACTAAAATGTTGAGTTTCGTTGAACACTTTATATGACATGGTACCGTATGAAGTTACACATCACATAGCTACGCCAGCTTACTGTACTGTAGACGAAAAACAGACTTGTGTTGCTCCTTGCGGCATGTATTTTAGGTTGAGGATCACTAAAAGTTTAAAGGTCACTGCAATCGGACCTTACCTGAATTTTACAATCCCATGTTTACATATGCCCTTAGGTCTGGTACCGTACGTAAAATGGAGGTTCTACTGTAGTTTCTTTTCATATGTTTATTACCTATTTGAGTTTTCATATATTTTTGGTAAATGTGATTTCACCGCAACAAGTATGCAAGATAAATGATAAATTACAGGGACAATAATTCAATTAACACTTAAAAAGATCATTTAATGTGAAACACTCTACATTTTTTCATGGACTTTAATTATAAAGGCTTTGTTAACACTTAAATACATTTAGCAACGTCCGTGTTAATATCTCTGGCTGCCTAACGCTGACCAATCTCCATATCGCAAAAATCGCCCAACTTTTTTTTAGAATTTTTACATAATTCACAAATTTGCTGGATTTTACAATTTAACATTTTTTTTACTTATGACAATAAACAAATTTTTAAAACTTCAGGTAAATTTGAAATTTAATAACTACTAAAACTTAAGAATGGTTACAAGGACAAGTTAAACCTGCAGCCGAAAAATACATTGAATACACGTTATTTACATAAAATAAAATCAATACATGTTAAAAAAAAGGTTTTCATTTTTTTTTAAATTACTGTACGCAAATAATGATATAGTACAAACTCAATTATCGCTTTGATATAAGAACGATTTTTATAAATTTTTTTCAATACTTCAGAAGGTTGATGCTGCCAAATGATGTACACAATCTTTTATCACTAACAATGAGTTTCATTTACATAAATTTACACTGCTTTAGTTTTTCATTCATTTCATTTTACCAGATTGTCATACTTTACATAAATTACATTTCTTTTGTTTTTCATTCATTTTATATTACCAGTTTGTCATACTTGTGACCTGAGAGTACAAAACGATTTACATTTGTCAATGATTGCTTGTTTTTCTTTTTTTCTTTCTCAACCTTGTTTACCGAAGATTTAAACTCAAATTGATAACATATCTGAATAGGACTTAAAAATGTACGATTAAACACAGGATACAATGGGATAAAACAATGAAAGTCGCAGTTAAAGACACTTTACTGAAAGTAAACCAGTTTCAATTGTAAATGCTAGTGTTTCAATAACATTTTTATCAATTCATTCAAACTAGCAGTGTGTTTTTATCAATATCTAATATCGTTCGAAACCCCGAGAAGCTGGAGGGGCTCTTCGTGCACCACGTGCTGGTTCAGCACTGGCGCCGAATGGATCACGTGCTCCGTAATCCATGCGAGGACGCTCTGCTCGAGCATCGGCAAAACCTTCGCGAGGTGTGCTATAACTGGCACTTGCTCTTCCTCGTGCTTGGGTACCTGGTTGTAGAAATTACATGAGGAAAAAATAAATCAACGGTCATTAACCTGTGACAAATGACAGCCTTTCAAGCGAGAGGCGCTTTGGCTTTCCGTCTAAGTTATTTATCATGGATACTTCCAACAGAACTGGTTGAAGGAATTATGCACGCAACAACGGTAAGTTAAACATTTCTGTAATAGGTTGTAGTTGATTCGCATAGCATTGAAATCATTTTTTATCTCTAATTTTTTTCAATAGACCACAATATGTGAGGGATTCAAATTTACAGACCTGCCAAGTGTCACATGTTTAGCGTGAAGGTCATGCAAAAAAAACCAAAAAAAAAACGTTTGTCCTGCGGTCTCGCCAGCATTTGTAAAATGTAGTTAAAAGTCAAACATTTCTCTATTACATTGCATAAGCTTGATTTTACTATTTTATTTTGCAAGATAAAAGAAATCAGTAAATTAGTCACTTGTTTACATGTCCACTACACCTACTCACAGTTTTAACATTAATACCGGTTACGTACAAAATTGTGGTTTAGTTAGCCACGCCATTCTGCACCATGGTGAAGTCATTTTGAAGAAAACGTGGGCCCAATGGTGGGGTGGAGGTAGTGCATACCTTAAATCTGTAGATTTCAATTTTTTAAAACAAGAACTTGGCAGGTCTGAACTTATCATCAAATCCTCGTTTTTAAACTAATATATGTGCATCATATTAAGCCATTTCATTTAAGTGTTTTCTTTCCCCATCATTATCCATCTTTGGTATCAGGCAAATGATATTTACCCGATATATAAATCTACATACAATTACTTTGAAGCATTTTTATTGTGTTAAAGGCATATGTACTTTTTGAAAGCGCAATGTCTTATATTTTTCTATTTCAATATAAAATTACGTTTCATATAGTTTAGGACAATATGATATATTTATATATTTTTCAACATTAAGACCATAATATGATTTACACATCATCAATTCTTTCATTTTCAGGGGTTGGATTAATAAAAAAACTTTGTCGATAAATATTATGTTTGTTTTTGTGATTTGTCATCTTTTATGATTTATATATTGATTATTGTATTATGTTATCTATTCGCAGATATAATATTGTATGGATTTTCCTTTTTCCTGATCTTTTTGACTTTTTCCCTAATAATAAGTAAATCCCATTTATTTTAAATATTAATTTCATTCATATGAGTGCATATGTAGCTTAAATGATCAGATTCACATGTTTAAACAAGTGTTGAGATATTTCAATGACCTTTCTTAAATAACGGCAGTGTCTCAGACTAAATGAGCAGCGTTAAAAAATACTGGGTTTTTTTAATTTTAAGAGTTATTTCTTTGAAAATATTTTTTTGACGATTCAAATTAGAGAAAGCATTTGCTGGACTGCATGTGCTATTTTGTTATTTATTAATTTTTTAATATTTGTGATACGTTGATACGTGAATCATCAATTAAAAAACCCATGATTACCGACACCAAACTGCTAAAATGTGAAAGATAAATTACCGTAATCCTTGGCAGCAGCAGGGTCAACATAGGGGTCAGCATAAGCTGGACGAGCCGGTCGCACGGGACGAGTTTCTGTAAAGAAATTAACCTGATATATTATTTGATCTTCATTCAGATTATCTTGTTATACACAAAAACAATTTTTACAAAATTTTAGTATTCTTGACTCTTAGGTCAAAAATTAAGAGAAACCACAATAGAGACACTAAATGTCAAATTGTAAAAAAAAAAAAAAAAAACAACTTCAAATAATAATTAATTATTGAAAAAAAAGCAACATTGAGGTTACTAATTGATTCTATGGTTAAATAATGTGTGCGCTATTCATTCTTTGGTGACTGAAGAAAATATTTAGAGCTCGTTACCTCCTGGGTATTCCCGACTGTATGATGGTTGTTGTGCGCTCCTCTCATACGCATCAGCACGAGGTGGGTATTCACGTTCCTCATACCCACCAGCGGCATAGCCTCGAGAGGCAGTCGCTGGCTCGCGTCGAGCAGCTGGGTATGGCTCTCGCTCAGCAGCAGGCTCAGCGTAGCTTCCACGTGATGCATACGGGTCTCTGTAATCATAGATGGTTTTAAGTAGTTAGAAATACAGTACAAAATAGTTTGTTTTTTTACTTTTTTCCATAACCACCACAAAAAAAAAACAATAAAAAAAGTCACATGCAGCAAAATCCAAGACAATCAACCATACACAAGATAGTACATTAGAAAGTAAAAAAAAAAAAAAAAAAAAATGTGTAGCAATATTGAAGGAATAAGAAGAACAGTGGCAAGGATAAAATTGAGTGGAAGTTAATGAGCACCTACCTTTCACGTGGTGGGTAATCTCGAGGAGCTTCCCTGGCAGCTGGGTAACCTCTTGCAACAGCAGGCTCTCGTGCAAGCCTATCACGGGACGGACCAAGCTCAGGCCGTGCATCTCCATATTCATACCTACTAGGGGCTCGGCCTGCAAAGATGAAAACAAAACATCAATTCCTGCTTTTCCTATGAATTAGCATTAACCTATATTTCTTGATCACAAAGTTAC